GAATGAATAAATGAATGGAGGCCAAGGTGAGAGGAAACATGGTATTTTTGGAAAAATTTAAACAGCATAGTGTGGTTGGGATACAGATTAGAGATCAGAGTAGATACTGAGAAGAAGAAAGAAGGCAAAACATGAAGAGCTTCTTATGGTATTTTAAGAAACTTGCATTTTATTCTTCAGTCAATAGGAAGCCACAAAAGATGTGAGTAAGGAAGGGGCATTAATAGATTTGATTGAAAAAAAAAATCACTCTGGAGAGAAAATGATAGAGGAATTGGAAAGGAGCATGAGACTAGGCAGGGAGATTAGGCAGGAGGACTCTGCAGTGATCCAAGGAAGAAATAACAAGGTATAAGGGTATAAGTTAATATGAAGGCAATGGAAATGGAGTGAGGCTGTGGACTCCCAGATACCTGGCTTGGATATTGTTGTTAGCTGCCTACTATTGCATTGATTCTGACTCATGGTGACCTCATATATGTAGAGCTGATCTGCATTCCACAGGCTTTTTTTTTTAAGGCTGTGCTTTTCAGAAGCAGATCTCCATACTTTACTTCTAGTGTGCCTCTGGGTAGCTTCAAACTGCCAACCTTTAAGTTAGTAGTCCAGAGCTTAACCATTTGCACTGCCTAGGGACCACTCTGGTTTGGATAACTCGGGTTTTTATATGGTAGTGTGGTATAGTAAATTACTTTGTGTGGCTTTTCTATCCATAAGTCTTTGTAAACTCCAAGGTGGGATTTGCTATGAGCAACTGAGGAGCTCCTGATTGCTGAAGTTGTCCACCTGGAGTATTTCTGTTGGGAGTGGCACAAAACAATGTTCTGGGAGGTGCCCACTCTCTCTCAGGTGCTTAGAGTTCTGATGCTATAATTGGCTAGTTTGACCACCCTGCCGGGCTCAAAAGGAGGTCTCCTGGAGGCAGAACTCTCTGACTGCTGGTTGAGGAAGACGTGCTGCTGAAAGAGACATGCGCCCCTGAAAGAGACACGTGCTGCTGGGAAAGAGACGCAAGAGACACACATCGCTGAGTGAGACACTGAGGGACCAGCACTGCTGGGAAAGAGACTGTGAGAGACTGTTGGCCGAGGGATGGTGGGCTGGGAGAGAGACTGAGCGTTCTTCCTGAACTTGAGTTGTAGCCTGGTGCTTCCCTAATAAACCCTGTAATCTGTGAGTTCTGTGTGGCCACTGCAGCGAATTATCGAACCCAGGAGAGAGGTGGTGGGTGCTTTGGGAGGAACGGTTGGTGAAAGGGCTGGAGGGAGGCAGCATGTCTGGCCTTGCAGTAAAAGGCCTTGGGTTACTGCTGGTAATCCTGTCTTCCTCTTGTAAGATTAGAGGAGGTCAGAACATGTGGCCTCCTCGCCATTTTTGCAGGTAGTCTGTAAAAAATATCTTTTAAGTTATTCTGATGATGCACTTTTTTTAAAAAAAATTAAGATTTAGTGTACTGTTTGTAGATAGGAATTTCTGTTCCCTGAAGGAAAGAAAAGATTAAGGTAGTGGTTTCCAAACTTGGCCAGTTATCAAAATCACCTTGGGGGTTTATGAAATATAAGTTAAGGAAGGGTGGACAAGAATGAAGAGCTATTTTAGGAAATAATTTAAAGATACCTATGAGGCATTAATGTAGGCTTTTGATATACAGATCTAAGCTTTTAGAGTTCTAAACTAGACACACATTTTGAAATTATGGGCACAAAAGTCCTATATGAAATCATCCATAAGCATGGATAAGATCATAGAGAATGTGGAGAGAGCCTACAACAGAATCCTGGTGAATACTGATATTTAAGGGAAGAAAAACAAAGAGAAGCCAAGAAAGAAGATAGACTAAGAGTAGCTAGAAGAGTTAAGAAGAAAATCAGGACAACTGAGAAGAGTTTCAAAAGTAGTAGTCAAAGGTGTCAAAGGTACAGAGACCTCTTCCTGGTAGATTAGGAAGGACATCCTTGTAAAACAATAACATACTATCTTATGCAGTGAATTGTAAACTTAATATGATTTTCAAAATTCTATGAGTGGCCTTTTCAAAATATACTGAAGCAAAATCATTGGGATGGAGCCTATGAATTTCATTTTTAAAAACTTTCCAGGTAATTCTGATATGTAGTTGGGTTTGGGAACCAGTAACTCAAACCACCTTCTTAATCCAAGAACAGAAAAATTTAATCAAAACAATAGAAATGTAAAAAATAAAAATCTAGGTAGAATGTCAGAATAATTTTGATAGTGTATGTTGTAATCTCCCATTGGAAGGAGTAAAGACAATTACCCAACTGTTTTGGTTACCTAGTGCCACTCTGACAAGAATATACCATAAAGGGGATGGTTTGAACAAACAGGAGTTTATTCTCTTACAGTTTAGGAGGCTAGAAGTCCGAGTTCAAAGTGCCAGGGTCTAGATGCTGGGTGAAAGCCCTATAACCTTGGGCTTCAGCTCTGCCTCCTGCTCCTGGTCCCCTGAAGCTAGAGGCTTTTCTTCACTCAGACAGCTGCTGGTTGCTGAGACTAACAAACCCAAGGTTGACAAGTAAAAAGGCACAGTCCGATGTTACCAAACCACACGGCAGACCAAGATTGGCAGAGCATATAGCAGGCTGCTGAACAATGACAAGGCTACATGCTGGGTTCAAGCATGCCATAAGCTAGAGACCATTCCCAAAGCTCTTTCTTATATATGGGAAGCAGACCACATCTCTAAAGCAGCTCCTCAGCTGCTTGTGGTAGATCTCACCATGGAGCTGACTGCCAGTCTCATCATGGGGAGTAACTACCACCAGCTGCCCAACCACTTAATCAGGGCCAGCCATGTTGACACACAAACTTAACCACCACAATTCCACCCCGTGTCAACTTGGCACCTGTACAGGTCTCCTCCACTGGGTGACTCCAGTCCCCTAATTCCTGAATGGCAACATCACCCCTTTGGCCTGGCAGGCCCATTCCTCTCTCTCTTGGGATGGCAGCCTTGCCCCCTCACTCATAGCAGCAGCTATGACTCTATCCCACTAGCTCACATGAACAAGCAGCCCCACACTCCAGAACCAAGTTGGTGAAGGTCTAGTTCTTTGAAACCTAGGGGGCTGTGGTGGTCCCAAAGGACTACCCTTGAGACTGAGGCAGCTCTGCTTCCCGCTTCCTTGGTTTCTCCACTTCTGGCAATTAATGCCCAAGGGCAACCCACTCCACTGGAAATCTTCCTGCCCAAAGGATACTTAGCTTTCTTGCTCCATGGGCTGGCCAACTTGCTACTCCATCTCATATCAGTCTCTTCTCCTAATTAATGGCCAAAAGCAACCCACTCTGCCAGGAAGCCACCTACCTAATGGTACCCAGCTTTCTCTTCCATCAGCTGGTAAGCCTGTTGCTGTTTAATGCTGGTCTCTGGGCTCTGCTCCTGCCGTCTCTCATGCCACATGCTGGGGTCTCTCTGCCAGGATTGCAGGTCAAGGACACCATCCACTCCTGTTTCCACATTTCAGGTATCTGTCACAGCAGCACCCCACTCCTGGTACCATATTCTGTTTTGGTTACCTAGTGCTGCTCTGACAGGAATGTGCCACAAATGGGATGGCTTGAACAAACAAGATTTTATTTGCTTACTACCACCAGCCGCCCAGCCACTCAACTAGGCCCAGCCAAGTTGACACACAAACTTAACCACCACACCAATTTTCTGCAGTTGAGCATTATAAGGGCACTGTAAGGACAATGCTGTATACCAGAATCAGCATAAGGCTGGTTACCATGGGCTAGAGGTCAAATATACTTCTGCTTTCCCATTTCTCCATCATTTCACTCTATTTCTCTGTTAGGTTTGATAAGTCACTGCAACAGTCACACAGAACCCACAACTATACTTACTCAAGGTTATGTGGTTTATTAAGGTAACAATGTAGAAATAACAGGGTTCAATTTGGGATACAATTCAAGGTCAATGTCAGGATACAACTCAAGGAAAAGTATATGGATGAGGTCTGGAAAAGCTCCAGAAGAGAGCACGTCTCTCCCTTCATCAACCAGAGCAACCTCAGACAAGCTCCCCAATTGGACAGGTTTTTCTCAGGGCAATGTTCTGGCAACTCTCCTCCCGATCAGGACAGCTCTGCCCTTCAGTTCCAGGCTTTTTATAAGCCAGCCCATGTACTCCTTGTCAATTACAAGGTGGGCTCCTTAACCAATTTGGGTAAAGGTCAATATAGGGTAGGGCCCCCAGCCATTCCCTTAGGTGGAGTGTAAACCAACTGATACACCCAGAGCCAGAAAGGCCACATAAGAGAAACCCATTATACTACAGACTCCATAAGAATAAACTCATCCCCTAATAGAGAATTTGTAATTTTCAAATACTAAAAAAAAAAGCCGCTGAATAACATAAAGAGCTATAATTAAATAATTTATTATAAAGAACTATGCATGAATCTGTTTCATCGACATACATAATGACATTTTTGTGTATATATAATTGAAACAAGAAAACTTTAACAATTACTATGAAAAACAAGAATAAGATCAGATAACAGCTTGTGATTCTGTGTCCTTAGAAATCTAGTTTACATAATAAAACCAAACACGAAACCCACAGCTATCGAGTTGGTTGTTTTCCTATGGAGCGGCTAGTGGATTTGAACTGCCATCATTTTGGTTAGCAGGCAAATGCCTTAACGACTGTGCCAACAGAGCTCCTGGTTTAAATTCTAGGAATGTTAATTAAACAATTGACCTGGACAGTAAGTTAGAACCAAATCTTTCATTTCTCCAAATAAAAAGAGGAAGACAAATACAACATACTGATATTATAAAATTTTCCAGATTTCAGAATTGGTCTTGTTGATTAATTAATCCAGATAAATTTTTTAACTCTATTTTCTACTCCTAAGTAACTAAATAAATTTGCTGATCACCAATGAACAAAGAAAAGGTCAAATTCCAATTCCATTCAGTTAATTTAAAAATGTATTAATTTGAGAAGCAAGTCCTTCTACTCACTAAGTAAATGAGACTACCCTTTAAGGAACAAGTGCATTTTTAACAGATTCTGGAACTCGACTTGCATAGTAGTCATAATTTCTCAGGGTGGCAAGGACTCCTGCTGAGTTCATATGCTTCACTTCTTTGTTGTAATGAATGGCATTTCCATGGATATCAGTTAACTTGCCTACAGAAAAACATTAACACAATATTAATGTCTGATTGGATCATTATGCTTCTAATTATTATTGTCTCAGTGTCTGTTCTTTATCTCTAAGTGAATCTGTTCACAAATTTAGGGCAGAGATCAGTAGTGCTTTGCCCCCACCTAGGATAGCGTGAGAAATCTGGTTTTCCTACCTTTTGAACCATCTCTTTGTCCAGATCCCACTTGAATCTATTGCTATGCTTTCAGACACAATGACAGAAAATTCCAACTCAACTGATTTTATTATTTTATACAACTCCCAAATTGACCTTCTTCCACTCTTTTTTTTAAAAACATTTTTAAATTGTGATTTGGGTGAAAGTTCACAGAGCAAATTTGTTTTTAATTCAATAATCCACACATATTCTGTTTTGTGACATTCACTATAATCCCCATAATGCAACAGCATTCTTCCCACGTCCCACTGAGCCCACCACTTTCCTTTATTCTTCCTTCCTATTCCCTCCTGCCTTCCTAGTTCTATCTGTGTACAAATGCTGCTTTCTTGATCTCCTATAGTTGAGTGTTCTAATGAGTACATATCCTCTTGGTATAATTTTTCATCTTATAGGCCTATCACTTGGCTGCAGTTGAGCCATGTGGTCTAAGTTCAGTTCATGGGCTAAGCTCAGTTCCTGGCTTAAAGAATGCATAAGGAACATAATTTCAGGGATTCTACTAGTCTTCAGCAGACCAAGCCTGGTCTTTTTCATGATTTTGCATTTAGTTCCACATTTTTTTCCCACTTTATTCAGGACCTCCTATTGTGATTCCTTTCAGAGTGGTCAGCAGTGGTAACTGTGCATTAGCTAGTTCTTCTGGTCTCAGGGTTGTGGAGGCTGGGTTCACATGCTCCATTAGTCCTTTGGACTAATTGTTTCCTTACATCTTTGATTTTCTTCACTTTTCATTGCTTCAGACAGGAAGAGACCAATAGTTGCACCTTAGATGGCTGCTCACAAACTTTAAGACCCAAGTTACTACTCACCGAAGTAGGAGGTAGAACACTATCTTTGTGGACAACTCAATACCAAATGACCTTAGTGTCCCTTGAGACTATGGTCCTGAGTTCCCATGCCCAGAGACTTCCCTCAAGGTGTTTGGTGATGACTAAGAAGTTTTTCTAACTTGGCCTACATGCTCTTCTATGTACATGGATATATTTGCAGTATACATAAATATATAGGAGCTCTGGTAGCATACGTAGTGCCTAAGGTACTTGACTGCTAACCAGAAGGCTAGTGATTCAAACCCACCAGCCACTCCTTGGAAGGAAGGGTGGGCAATCTACTTCCGTAGTGATACCGTCTTGGAAACCCAAGGAGGGGTTGCTGTGAGTTGGGTCTGATTCGACGGCACATAACAACAACATATATAAATACATAGAGATGTCCTCTGTGAAACCTATATATGTGTGTTTCTGGTTATTTTTAAGTGCCCTTTGCTTCCTTGTCCAAGAGTAACCAATTAATTCTGGGAAAAATGAGGAAGAAAATGAGTGACTATTTTTTTTTTAATTAGGATTTGGGTGAAGATTTACAGAGTAAATTCACTTTTCATACAGCAGTTCACATATACTTTGTCTCATGTCATT